TGGATGTCCATCCATCTGCTATGGGAAGGGGGAAGGAAGCTTGTCATCTCCTGTGGCCTTTGGGGTAAGAAATTTCATCTTCAAGAAATCAGAATCCCAGGCTCAAGCCACATACAGGTGTGGGATTTGAACTGACATTATTCGGTGGAAAAGGGGATACTCAAGACAAAAAAATAATAATACAAAAAATCCCAACAACACTTATTTCTAAATCAGTAAACCTGTGCTATATGGGCACTTCCACAGCCCAGAGCAACCCAGACTCCCATGATTATAACACCCTCTCAAGATGGCATCGCAGTAAAAAATTATGGATCAGTAATGAAACAAACTGTCAAAGGAAAATCAACAGGTGCAGTACATTGTAGAATATTTGGACAACCAAAGAAAGGCGACCTCAAGACTTTTCTTCTTAATGTGTTCCTGAGAATACTAGGGACAGGAGGCATTCTGCATTAAAGGGGTCCTTGGACCAAATGAGCCTGGGGAACACTTCATGCATATACATACATACATATCCCCAAATCCTCTTTAGAGATTACAAAGTTCCTTACCATATAAAAGTTCTGACAAGTCCTGCAGTTTCTTAACCTGGTTCCTCTGTTTAGCCACTCTGTCGTGTCTAACCTGAAAACTTTTTTTAACCTCAACACCAATAAATATCTCACAGCAATGTAGTTTGGCAGCAAACACTGACCTAGAGAATAAAGTTCTCACTCCTAACCCTCTCCACAGACCCCTCCTTCATTCTCAGCCTCATCTTCCAACAGCCTCCCTCAAAGACCCTTGATTCTCATCACACAGGTTACTTTCCCCCAAAGTACAATGTTCTTCCAAACTTCCTTCAATCCTTCAACCTGAATTGCTTTCCAAAAATCTTACTTTCACTCCCCAAGGTTTAACTCAAATATTCTCTCTTTTATAAGTTCTTCCCCACACAATCATCTGGAATAACATACTCCAGCTGCTTTCCTAGAATTTTGATTATAGGCAACTACTTCTCTTAGCCACTTCTCTTAGCCATTAGGGATATATGTCTTGGGTCTGTCTGACCACCAGACTCTTAAATAGTAATGACTAAGTGTCACTCACCTCTGCCTCCCCATAAAGGTGGGTGTGCATTAATAAAGAGCTGGGACCTGAGAAGCAGACACAATCAGCTTCAATCCATGAAGTTATCTATTATTAACATGCCTTAGTTTCTCCTCTGCCTTGTGAGTTCTTGTAAGAATTAGAAATGACATGTGAAACAGTATGCGGGGCAGAAGAAGTCAACACAAATACATATACTAGTATACACCAGGGTTCCATTTGTATAAAGTTAAAAACTGCAAAACTAATCTATGAGAAGCCAAAATAGTGGTTATGCTTCTTGGGGTGGGTAGTGACTGGGAGTTCTAAGGTTCTGTTTCTTGATTTGGGTGCTAGTTATGTAGTTTTGTAAAAAAGTGAGCTGTGCACTTTTTATTTGTTCATGTGTATGTACTTACTTCAATACAAATGCCATTTTTTTTTAATGATGTGTGAAATGTACCCGGAGAACAGTGAGCATTCAAGGTAGCTTTTTGATCATAATGTTGTGGTATTCTACTCCTCAGTGCTTATTGAATTTCTCTCCCGAAAGGAGAAAAGGAAACAATATTGCTAAGCCAGGCCAGTGTCGCTGTGGTTGAGCATTAACCCATGAACCAGGAGGCCACTGTTCGATTCCCAGTCAAAGCAAACAAATATTTTTGTATGTATATACTATGGACCCAATACCACTCTAGCAGTGACCTTAAGACAGACAAGATCCATGACTCGGCTATCTTTAGTGCATATATTCTGGTGGGAGATAAAAAGCTTGCCAAAGCAGTGGAGCCAGGACTCCAACTCAGCCACTCTGACTGTAGAACCTATACTTCCAAAATCCCAAATTGCCTGGGCCCAGGGATTATCATTTCTAACCATCAACACTAAAATACCACATTTCCTCTATTATAAGATACACAGTTTCTTCACATTTTAATGTCTGAAATATGGCTGTATTTTATAATAAACATTGAAAGAAACCTGTATGCTGTAGACAAAGAGGAAAGTCATGGTACAGCTAATATTGCTGTTCAAGTGTGGATTTCACTGAATACAGGTTATCTGATTACTGACTCAGCTGGGTTTTGCACAAATGTTAACATTAAATGCAATTGAATTTTAGCTTAAATTAAGATCCTTGATATTACTTCAAATGCACTCCAATAGGTTCCCTATAAAGCAATATTGAAAGAAAAAGCTACTGTGCGTGCCATAGATTGTCTATTGTATGCAATATAATGAAAGGGAGTAGAAATTAGCAAATCTCCTAGAACAGATGACAGAATTTTCAGAACCTAATCAAATGATGAACATCTAATTGTCAAAGGCTTCCAGTCATTTAACTTCCAGCAACATGTGCTCAATTCAGGAGAAATAAAACTATAGGTTTTGCCAAAGAGAAAATGCAAGCCAAATCCCTCTATACTTTGATACGCCTCAAAATTATACTGCCAGCCTTACAGATATCTAAGGAATAAAGATCAGAGTAACCTACTTTCTGAAAAGCAGCACATAACTCTAGAGTTACACAAAACTTCAGAGAACCCAGTAATGATACACAACTTCATTAATGTGAACCATTCCTACACTCCAAACTCAGGTTATACAGAATGAGAAACTCATATGTAAGCATATGAATCATTAAGAGCTGCTACTGACAAACTTTAATGTGTCAAACTGAATGTCATGCTTCTTTGTTTCTGGAAATATGCAATTAACTTCGTGGCTTATTTTACCATTCTGAATGGTGCCTCAAAATTATGGTAATCACAATGACAAATGCCACTAATTGAGCACCTGCCAAACACTGTATTTGCTATTTGCTATCTTATACCCATTATGTCTAATCCTCATGACAATTTTATATTTCCATTTTACACGTAAGGAAACTAAGGTTCAAAGAGCCCAGTGACTTCTCAAGGTCAAAACCAGTGAGCATCAAGCCAAGCATGGAACCAGTTGTCTTTCCCTGCTAGCAACCCTGCTCCACCCCTGCCCTGGTGCAGCAAGCAGATAAGTTCTTACCTGAAAAAAACTTACTATGATCCCAGGGCCCAGGGCAGGAGGAGCCAGTATGAATTCAAAGTAGCAGTGTCCCCCCTCTCAGCCCAAATAATCCTGTTTATTTAAATCCTGCTGTTTTATGACTGCTTCCATTTTTTTTCAAACTACGCTTGAGAACATGCTCAGGCAGGCCACAAATTGACCAACTGCCCCAACTTTCACACAGCCAATTGATTAAGTAGTTCCCTCCTTCAACTATGACAATTTGGTAGCACAATCCAGAGAAGACATTAAACAGCAAGAAGAGAGGAAGTCAACTCTGTAGCTGAGGCTGGGGTAAGAAGGAGTCTTTGGCCTGGTAGGAGGCATTCTTTTCCCCCAAGGTGCTATTTCACACCAGTTAATGGAAGCAGAGGGCTCTTTGAACCTAAGGAAGCATCTAGATTACTGTGCCAGCCACCTTCTCTGAAGTCCTGAACTCCTTTTCTCCTTGATCAAACTTCTGCAAGATGGCAGGCAGGGGCTTGTGAATTTCACCCCATTCTCTGGACATAAGCTTTTGGACTAAGTCTTATCTCCAATGTAAAATCCTTTTCGAGGGCTTTTCCTTAAATATTCCCTCGGAAAGGACCTCAAGTTTAGACACTAAGAGTGGGACTAGGACAATTCGAGAGACATGTATTGCACATCTCTGAGGATATAGAGATAAATAAAATGTGGCCCCTATCATCAAAAAACTCAATTGAGGGAAGGAGGAAAGACCAGGTCAGAACTAAGTACAATAAAAATCACAACAAGGTGAGTGTTATCTTGGAACATAGAATAGAAAGGACTTAATTCCAGATGCAAGATCAATAATAAACTCAGCTAACACTGATGGAACACCTACTAGGTACCAGATATGATACCTGACATTTTACAAACCTTATACCATTTCCACAACCACCCTGTGGAATACATTCTATTAGTATCTTTACTTTATAAATGAGGAAACATATATAGAAACAACATATCTTACCCAAGGTAACACAAGTAATTTGTAAATACCAGAGATGAGATTTGAACCCAGGTGGCCAACATCAAAGCTTATGTTTCTTTCAGTGCAAAAGACTACATCTCCTGGAATAAAGAAATTCTTCCTGGTAATAGCAGAATCTGAACTGGCTTGGAATTTAACCAGGTGAAGATGGAAGGGGAGAATATTCCAATCAGAGGGTCAGTAATGGGCAAAGCCTTGAAGTAGGAATAATGATCAGTCACAGGTGAGCTAGAGCACTGGTCAGAAGTCAAGCTTCCAACACAAAGGATGTGTGTGGTCAATGAGTTAGGGGACGGCGTGTCAAGAGCCCTGGGTTCTAGTCCTTGCATGGCCACTGACTAACTGTGTGGCCATCAGCAATTCCTATCCCCTATCTGGGCTTCAGTTTCATCATCAGAGAGAATTCCAAACCCCTGTTGGAATAGATATTCCCAAAGTCTGCTCTGGCATGAATACTCAATGATATTCTCAAGAGGCCATGTGGGACAGTGATTAAGACCAGGTAACAGGTAGATGCTAGCTCTGCAGTGACCTTGGATAAGCTAATTAATTCCAGAGTCTCACTCTTCCTCATCTATAAAGTGGGGACATCAGCAATGCCTGCTTCACTGGGCTGTGGTGAAGGATGAGTGGAAAGAAGATCATAAAGCACTTAGCAAAGTGCTTGGCAAACTGTAAATGTTCGGCTAATGAAGGCAGCTTGGTCACCACCACCTATCTCTTCTTTAAAGGGTCTAGAAAGTGATGTTAGTAGTCAAGGATCAGGAGACCTTTTTTTTTAAAAAAAAAAAAAAAGTGACAAAAATAAGCTCTCACTGAACCATAAGTCCCTCCCATGACTACCTCACACATGAGACTCCTATTGCACCAAGGGGCCGCATCATACCTTCTCTTCTGAAGAAACAGTCAGCTTGTCACTGGATATCAAGCTGCACACCTGGTCCAGACTTAGGCTAAGAAATTCTTCCCCCAGCATCACCTCTGGAAAGTGCTGCTCTGTTCCAAAAAAAGAAAAAGAAAAAGGATAGCAGAAGTTCAGAAAACAAAGTTATAAAACACTCCTGCCCTTCCATGACAATATCTAGGATTTAGATTGGAGTCCTAGGGGCCCTGAGAGGAAGATGGAAGCAGAGGGTGAGACAGAGAGGCAGTGAGAAAGACAGCACATCCTGGCTGGAGGGAAACTAGCCTTTTAACTCAGCAGCAAAAGCATCCCCCTGTGATCCTCTGTCCAGAACACCGACAGAGATGAAAATAGGGCAGAGAGATATGAGGCTATATTTTTTCCATGCTCCATGAGGTTAGTCCTGATGTTTCAGAAAAGCCTCACTGGGACCTGCCTACTTGACTGAGCTCATTTCCCCTCAAGGCTCAAGCTGGCAGAGTTGCAGACAGTGCCCCCAGCAGCTCATTCAAACTAAAGTGGGTCAGAACTGCTGTGTGGCTGGAAGTCTCCGGGGTTCTGGTAGAAAGACAACATTAGAAAGGTTGGCCGAGGAAGTCATCCTTTATCGTTCAATGTCAAGTCTATTATAGTGAACCTCTGGTTCACAGGGAGGCCCAACTAAGAATCCATTCCAGGGTGGTGGCAACACAGCTGGTCCCACTGCCATTGGGAACAATCCAGTCGGTGGAGGCCATTAAAATGGAGGGAAACTTGGGGACAGCTAGAACAAGTCAGGCCTAAGGTCCACACAAAGGAAATGCCAAGTACAACTCCTACCCTGACACTTGCTGGGCCACCATCCTGCTATTACAGAGGCAGTGAAATGTCAGTGAAAGAGCGTATATTTCAGAAAGAAGGAAGCTAGACAGGGCTAAGCCCCCAGAGTTGGAAACTAGAGTCCTCTTTCTGATTGCAACACTCAAGAAACAACAAAATAGAAAAAAAACAAACACACACAAAAACAGGACAAGGATGCTCTGACCAACTCCCTCTCCTGGGAAACAGGAACTCCCCAGAAGACTTTGCACTCAAGTCAGCCCTCTTCCCAGCTGCTTCCCAGAAAGAACCCCTCTGCTCCCAGAATATACACCTCCCTGAGAATCAGCTTCTACCTTCACACTGGTTGGTTGGTTGGTTGGTTGGTTGGGGATTTTTGTTTGTTTGTTTTGCTTTGTTGTTATTGTACCAAAGGAAAATGTAGTGAAGAGCTTTGGCTAAGAGTCAGAAGACCTGGGCTCAAGTCCTAGCTCCACCTCTTACAGTTACTTCTTTACAGACTTGGGCTTCATCGTGGATAAAATGGGACCATAATACCTGACCTAGGTCTCATGGTTGTTTTGAAGTCCAAAGATACTGCAGGCTAAGACCAATAAGTAGTTAGCATAATTATGCAAGAAGTCCGTTAGAAAGTTGATAGTCTTTGATATTCAGCAAGGGCTAAAAATCGGCATTGTGCTGCTGGCTGAATGACTGAAGGCAATCCCCTAACTCAGTGGTCAGCAAACCGCGTCTGGAGAGCCACATGCGGCTCTTTGGTCCCTTGAGTGTGGCTCTTCCACAAAATACCACGTGCGGGTGCACATGTACAGTGCGATTGAAACTTTGTGGCCCATGCGCAGAAGTCAGTTTTCGGCCTGCGCGAGTCTATTTTGAAGAAGTGGTTCTAATGCTGAACCACACTCAAAGGGCTAAAGAGGTATGTGGCTTATGAGCCACTGTCTGCTGACCACTGCCCTAACCTAATAATCCTTTTATTGTTTGCCAAACTTTACCATTGATATACCTGTTTGCTTTGCCAAAGGGCAAATGTGTATTCTAGTAAATAAAAAACTGAAGAGTCCGGAGATTGAATTTCTCCACTAGAGTGAAGCCTCCGCCTGGCTCCCCCATGCCTTCTAGATTTTTATTTCTTGTCTAATGTAGCCCCTTCTCCAGACCTTGAACTTTAGCAGCAAATGGATGTGGCGTTCATATCTGGCACCTCAAAACAGGGATCTGAAGAAAAAGATTTGCCAGAGCGGGGCGGGGCGGGGGGAGGGGGGAGGAAATTCACTGGAAAGGGGGGATCACCAGAAAGGTGGAGAGATTCACTGCACACAAAGCCTGTACCAGCTTCGGAAGTTGTGATCCATAAGTGGGCAGGAACGTCTTTTTATTTCAAGCCTGGCTATAATGGGGAAGAATTTGAGTACAAGGCAACATATCATTGTAAAGTGTTAGCTTGTATGCTTAAGGATTAAAAAAAAAATTAAAATGTCAAGAGGTACTCTTGGCTCTTATTCAAACTGCTTTAGGCCTAATTCATATTGGGGATCCACAGTCTATAATACCTAAGGCCCCAGATCCTCCACCTCTAATGTGGAAAGGCCCAGCAGCTAGAAAAAATGGGGCTATCAGTCCTCTCACAAAAGGACTCCTTAATGCTTTGTCTGAAAATTACCATATGATACCTTGGGACAGGCAGATTTTAGCTAAAAATATTTAGACACCAGTCAATGCAATGAAAAGCAGAATAGAATAAGACCTGAAAACAATGTTCTAACATCTAGGCTGCATTCTGGCTATAAGTCCCAGGCAAATGTAAAACATCTGAAAAAAATTCATGAAAAGAACTCTGATTTATAAGTCTTGTCTATATGTTATGGGTGCTTGTCTGTTGATTGTTGTTTTATCTGTCTTTGTTGTTTATTGTTAGTCTATTAAGTATGCCTTTAATTTAATTTAATTTAATTTAATTTAATAAGAAAAGATACCTAGGTGGCCAGGCTGTTTACTGAATTTCCCCAGAGCAAACAGGATGTGGGGGTAGGGAGACATGTGGCCGATGGTACATGTCCTAGGAGACAAAAGAAGGTAGAGATAACTAAAAAGGCCCCTGCCCATTAATTACTAAGTCTTTTACTGATCCAGTAAAATGGATGCCCACTCTCAAGAGTGCTATTAAAAGTCTCATTTTCACCATGTTTTATTTCCCAGTCCATCATTTGAAATTTAGATAGATGAGACATTTCTCACAATTTAAGGGATACGTCTGGGATTTCTCTACCCATAAAGAGAAAAAGGCTAGCTTAAGAGAAGCCGCGCCCCACCCAATTTTGGGTGGCCTCTTGAGCTCCATCTCTTTATGGATGTTATAGAATATATCCAAGACCATTTTTCTTTAAATGATAGCAAAAATGACACAAGGAAATATACAGGTTGGGTTTAGGCAACAAGAGCAGTGTTTTCATAATAAAGGGTCATTCTTTTTTTTTTAATATATTTTATTGATTTTCTTATAGAGAGGAAGGGAGAGGGATAGAGAGCTAGAAACATCGATGAGAGAGAAACATTGACCAGCTGCCTCTTGCACACCCCCTACCAGGGATGTGCCCACAACCAATGTACATGCCCTTGACCGGAATCGAACCTGGGACCTTTCAGTCCGCAGACCGACGCTCTACCACTGAGCCAAACCGGCTTCAGCAAGGGTCATTCTTAAGTAATAATGGACCGCATTCCAAAGTTAACATTAAACCTACTGAAAGTAAGTTATCTCTGTTACAGAATTTTCCAAAGAAAATGCCTTGGATAATAATAATTGGCTTTAGAATCTCAAAATTGTTGAAACATAGATGGATGGATGTAGCAGAGTTTTTCAGTAATAATTATAGGTATATTGATGGTGAGGGTCCAGTCACCAAGGGGGAGGACCAGCCACGTTTCCCTCAGCAGCAACCTTAGATGTTATCTCCAAGGAAGAATGTGGTGGTTTTAAATTTCAAATGGCTATAAGCCTGCTTCCAAACTCTTTGACAACTTAAAGCTTTGCAGTTTACTAAATTAAATAATACAAAATTATTAAATATCTAGGTGTTTTAAAATGACAAAATACTGAAATATTAATCTGAGTTTGCCTCGTATGAAAAATCTAGAGGATAGATTTGAATCTATTAGTTATATATGTCTTATATTTTATTTGATATATATCCTTTAAAAAGTGAAGGTAGTATTAATATAAGAATTGCTAAGTACTTAACTTCACACTTAAAATTTAAGTCTTCTAAGAGATTAACGTGTATAAGCAGGTAAAAGACCTGTAAACTTTCCCTCACACAGCAACACACACACACCCCACCACCACCACCGGCAGTTTCCAGTGCCCGAGACACAATCAAGGCCAAGCGTCCTCCACGAGAGCTGTGGAAAACTACAGGACATTGAAAAAAAGAGATAGAGGAAGACATAAACAGATGGAAGAACATACTGTGTTCATGGATTGGTGGAATCAACACCATTAAAATGTCCATACTACCCAAAGCAATCTACAGATTCAATGCACTCCCCATTAAAATACTAAGGGCATATTTCACAGAACTAGAACGAACTTTCCAAAAATTCATCTGGAATAAAAAAAGACCCCAAATAGCTGCAGCAATCCTGAGAAAGAACAAAGTAGATGGGATCTCAATACCAGATATCAAGCTGTATTACAAAGCCACCGTTGTCAAAAACAGCCTGGTACTGGCACAAGAACAGATATATAGATCAGTGGAATAGTACAGAGAACCCAGAATTAGATCCAAGTCACTATGCCCAATTAATATTTCACAAAGGAGGCATGAACATACAATGGTTTCAAGACAGTCTCTTCAATAAATTGTGTTGGGAAAATTGGACAGATTCATGGGAAGAAAAAAAAAAAACTAGACCACCAATTTACACCATACACAAAAATAAACTCAAAATGGATAAAGGACTTAAATATAAGATGGGAAACCATAAAAATACTAGAGGAATCCACAGGCAGAGAAATCTTAGACATATGCCGAAAGAACTTCTTTACTGATACTACTTCTAGAGCAATGGAAGCTAAAGAGAAAAATAAACAAATGGGACTACATCAAAATAAAAAGCTTCTGTACAGCAAAAGAAATCATCAACAAAACAATGAGAAAGCCCACTGCATGAGAGAACATATTTGCCAATGTTATCACTCATAAGAGCTTAATCGCCAACATTTACAGGGAACTCATACAACTTAACAAAAGGAAGAAAAACAACCCAATCA